CGTCTGGATGGGTACGGATCCCCCAGGAGCTGATTTGCTTCTTACTCTGTTAGGAGAAAAGCAGCCTCCCAGACAGACAAGCCGGCTGATAAGAAGGAAGACGAAAGCCAAACGGTGAGCAAGCGCCCCTCGCACACCCCACCTGCGTGCCTCCCGGGAAGGCTCTCTGGCCCCAGGCCTTTGGGCAGGAGGTGCACTTGGTGCACGTGATAGGTGCGTCCCCAGGGACCTATAGGAGCAATGGGTGCGGGGAGGGGGTTGGCGTGGGGTGTAGGAGGAGGAGACGGGAGGGCCTGTGGAGCCCTCATCGTCATCCCCACGGCCCTGGGCACCAGCCAGTTTGCTCTAACGACCAGTCCCATCGACTGCCCTATGGCACGCTGGCCAGGCAGCCGCACCAGCTGTGCGACTGGCAGAGATGCCCCGCCATGGGCCAGGCTGTGCACGTGCTGGGGCCTCAGAGCAGGCAGGATGTAGCCTCGGCCCTCGAGGGAGGGGACACAGGAAATACTGAGGGCTTAGAGAGAAGGAGCACCAGGGCCCTGGGAGCTGAAGGAGGAGCCCCGAAAGCCTGCCTGGGGTGCCCACGAGAAGCGCCGTTTGCCTTGAGTTTCAAAGCCCAGACCAGAGCAGAGAGCGCAGTGCAAGGAGCAGCGTCAGCAAAAGCACAGACAAGCCGAGGGCCCGGAGGCGGCTCTGCCCACCCACCTGTCCCGCTGCCTCCACCTCCTACCAGGTGGCTCCAGAGACTTTCCAGAGGGGCTGAGGGACAGACCTAGGGTGTAGAACTAATTTGGCAGCAGCGCTCATGAACTTGTGGGCTGATGGGGACAGAGATAACCTTAGGACAGATTCTCAGAACCACCTCTCAGGTGAAGGACAAGTGAGGCCCTCACAGCCTTCCCAGCCTGGTCGCCGGGAAAGGGGCTGTGGGGCCACAGCACCATCTAGGGCCACCCAGACATCTGGTCCTCACATCAGCCACCAGAGGCGGGAGCCAGGCCCGAAGAGCAGAGGGCCCTTAGGCGGGTCCCCCCCGGCTACGCCCCTCACAACGGACAGCAAGAAGCCGCTCCTGGGCCGGGAGTGGCGGGCACCCCCAGGAGCTCTGCCGCCGCCGCTGTGCGGAGGGTCGGGCCCCCGGCGGGCTGCGTCTGCATCGGGTTGGTGCAGCCGTGGAGTCTGCCCCACTAGGCAGGAGCCTGTGTCTCCCTGCAGCCCTCTCCTTCCCTGATTCCATGGGCCAGCCCGCCTCTCACCCCGACTTAAGGTTTCATTTGTTAATAATACTCATTCTGCCAATTATAAAAGTAACACATGTCCTTAAAAAAATCTAGGGTTTTCTAGGTGGCCCTGGTCACAGGCTCCTGCCCCTGCCCAGTAGCCTTCATAAGCAGACTGACGGCCAAGCTTTCTCTCCATTTTAGGAAGAGCCCAGCACCTCTCCATCTCCGGGTACCCGAGCAGCCAGCCAGCCACCCAACTCCTCAGGTAAGAGGCGCCCTGCCCGGCCTGCGCCGGCCAAGACCTCAGAGCAGCAGCCACTCCCACAGGCACATGGCCCGGTCCCTCCGCCTCACTTTACAAATGAGCAGAGGCGGCCAGCGGGGCTGTGCTAGGGGTCTCCCTGCCACCTCCCCGAAGCCACCACTCCGGTGAGCCCCAGGCTCCCTCGGTGCCCAGGGCAAGGAGTGCCAGCGTCCAGGGGATGGCTGCCTGTGGGCATCGGAGCTGCCAGGCCGCAGAGCCCACCCACCCAGCCCTGCCTTCCCCACAGGAGAGGAGCACTGCCTGTCCAGTGCAGGAGCTCCAACCGGCCCCGCCTCGGGGCCTGGCCCTCTGTTGGCACATCTGCCTCTGGAGGGATTGCCCTGTGTGATGCCGCGAGGGCACTCAGTGAATGAGTGTGTAAATACCACCCGCCCAGGCAGGAGTCTGGTGTTGGCCCAGTGTGGGAGGTCGAAGCTCAGTGGGGTTACCTGGTGGTTCGCTCAGGGCCACACGCCTGCAGCGTGGGTGCGTCCCTGCTCCTGTGCCAGCAGCTCCCAGGGGTGGCTTTCAGGAGGCCTGCCTTGGCCTGCGGTAGGCCTCCCTGCCACCTGGGCATTTTCCCTTCTGCCTCTGCTCACCCACAGAGCCAGTGAATTCTGTTCAGTTTGACAGATCTCTTGACAAAAAGAGAAATACAATGTAATGCCACTTAATTTAAAAAGAAAAAGGAAAACCAAACCAGCCCTCAACACCCAGGACAGGGAAGGGCCAGCTGTCCTGTGGGGAGCACCACGGAGTCAGAGGCAGCAGGTGCTCGTGGGGCCCCAGGGGCCTGGCCCCCAGAAGCAAAGGTGGGCCTCAGGCTGGTGAGCACCTGGCGCGGCTGCCTCTGCCCGCTCACCCCGCTGGCGCCACAGCCGTGGCAGAGGGCGCCGCTGAGAGCTCCCTGGCACTTGGTTTACACTTCAAGGAGGGTGGGCTTCCATGGTGAGGCTCAAAAACCAGCCACACGTCAAGGACAACCAGGTCCCGAGTGGGGGCGACACGGTGACATCAGGATCATCCATAGCCTTCGAGAGCTGCCGGGGCCAAAGGGGGGCTGAGGACAGGCCAGGCATCAGCCCCCCCAAAGCAGAGCTTCCTGAAGGGGACGGGTGGGGAGGGAGCGGGCCCTCCTGTCAGGGATGTTGGGTGGGGGCCTGGGAGTCCTCTCAGCCCTAAGGCTCCTCGTCCTGACGTGACTTGACAGAGGCCGGCCGGAAGCCCTGGGAGCGGAGCAACTCCGTGGAGAAGCCCGTGTCCTCGTTGCTGTCCAGGTGAGCGGGCCCGGGGAGGCTCGAGCGGCGCCGTCGGTGGGCCGAGGCCGCCACGTGCCCATTCACATGTCTGCTTCATTCCCCTGCCCTAGAACCCCGTCCGTGGCCAAGAGCCCCGAAGCTAAGAGCCCCCTTCAGTCGCAGCCTCACTCTAGGTACCAAACGCCTCTCTCTGGGGCCTCCGTTGTCCCCTGCCCTGACTAACACCGACCCTGTCCTTGTCCTGTCATCTAACGGTGCTGTGGGCGATCTCCCCCGAGACCTGGGCCAGGTGCGGCTGGAGCCGAGTCCTCCTTCCTCAGGGAGGGAGAGGTGGGCCTGGAGGGCGGCCTGCCCAGAGGGCCATGAGCCGAGCTGGTGAGTCCCAGCTCTGGCCGTTGGGCACGTCCCCCTCCCCTTCCCCATGAAGAGGTCTGTCGGCCTCTGCCTCTCAGGCGGTCGTGTGGACAGCTGTGTGGACGGGAGCTGTGTGGACAGGAGCTGGACGCAGGAAGTGCTCGCTGGCCACAGCTGTCCCCCACAGCTCAGCCATGCGGGGCCTAGCCCTGCACGCCGCCTCCTCGCCTTCCTCCCTGTAGTTCCCGGTGGATGCTGACCATGTTTCCCAAACCAAGAGCTGGTGTGGTAACAGGATAGGATGTCTGAAACTGAGGAAGCCCGAAAGTCAGAGCCTAGCAACCCCATAGTAACCAGAGGCCAAGCTGGCCTTCACTGCAGGCTCCAGAGCCCGAGTCAGAAACGTCTCCATTGCCACCAAGATGGAGGGAGCCACTTGTGTGGCAGAGCGGGGGCCTCTGAGGCTGGTCTTGCAGAACAAAAGGGGGCTGAGCAGAGCGCGCTGGCCCGGCCCTGGCCCGAGGGGCCATGACACTTGGTGAGCAGGGGGAGGACTCGGGGATAGCCAGGACTTGTCCAGAGCCTGTGTCTGCCAGGTCGGGGGTCAGGGGAACGTGGGTCCTGCTCATCGTGCCTGCGGGATCTCATCTCTCGGGAAGGCCTTTGTTTGACGGCTGTGGGCCTGACAGGTGCTTGGGAGGCCCGGAGGGTCACATGGGCGATGGCACTAGGGACAGGCGCTGCAGTGAGTGATCTGGGCAGGCCTCCCTCAGTGGCATTTGGGTGCCTCTGAGATGGGGGATTGCCTTCCAGTCGGCGTGAAACTGCTGAGGCCCTGTGGCTACAGAGTGAGAAGGGAAGAGGAAGGCAGTGGGCTGGAAGGCGTCTCCTTGATTGGATCCTGTGTGTGCGCCCAGTGTGCGCGCCCTCGACACAGGCCTGGGCTGCCAGCTGTTGGGGAGCTCACTCGGCTGTGAAGGGAGGTGCATGGAGGGGCAGGAACAGCAGGCACAGGAGGAGGCAGGGTGCCCAGGGCACAGTGGTCACTTCTTGCTGCTGGAGGAAGGGCGGGCTGCCCGTGCACCTCAGAAGGAGACTCTCCAGCCCTGAGACAGATCTGTTCTCTAGCACCATCCATCCCTCCGGCAGGGGCATGCCTGCGCTCCCGGAGTGTGCCAGTGTCGCCATCTGGGCTGTTGGGCGTACGTGTGCCGTGTGGAGAGAACGGAGGCCCGGGGTGGCGAGGCGTTGGCCCAGGTGACCAGGGAAAGTTCTGTTGCAACAGGGACTGAACCTACAGGATGGGCGTGATGGCCCTGGGCGTCTCAGGCTGAACCCACAGTCACTTATAGACTCACTCGAGACGTTTGACCTGCGCGCGTTCTCTCTCTCTCTCTCTCTCTCTCTCTCTCTCTCTCTCTCCCTCTCTCTCTCCCCGCCCCCCCGCCCCCCCCCCTCTCATCTTGGAGGACGTGGGAGCATTTTATTTATTCATTCGTTTTAATTCAGTTCTGTGCCCTGGGCCCCTGAAGTCTCCTGTGACGCTCAGTGGATTTCCCCAGCTGTGTTGAGTAATAAGTGATGTCTCCGTTGTGCAGGTGGAAGGCATACAGCGTGGTGTTTGACATGTGCGCACGCTGTGCAGTGATTACAGGGTGCTCAGTTAGCCTTCTGGCCGCCTGTGTGTGTGCAGTGAGAACCTCAGGATCGGCTTCCTTAGCTACTTGGAAGCACACAGTGCAGTGTTGCCACTCAGTCACCATCCCCAGAGCAGATCCATCTCCCCCCAACCCCCTCACCGCCCCCAGCCCCTGCCAACCACCGACATAGTCTTTGTTTTGATAAGTCTGGGGGTTTTTAGATTCTACAATACGTACAAGTGAGGTCATACCATGTCTGTCTGTCTCTGCCTGGCTTAGTCCACGCAGCCTCGTGCCCTCTAGTCCATCCATGGTGCCACAAATCGTGGCTTCCTTCTGTCTCACGCCTGAATAATTCCACATATGTATGTTCCACACCTTCTTACCCACCGGCTGTCCAAGGACACGGTGGCTTCCGTGTCCTGACTACTGTGGCTAATGCTGCAGCGAACATGGAGGTGCAGGAACCTCGTCAAGATTCCCTCCTCCAGCGATTGCATCTCCTCCGGTAAAACCCGGACGTGGGCCTGCGGCTCTGTGTTTGCGGAGCCTCCGTGCTGTTTCCCAGCGAGGCTGCGACAGCACCAAACCCTGGCCGGGGACCACCCCGGTCCGCGGCTTCACCGCACGCTGTCCTCGAACGCCACGGTGTGTCCCACGGGCCTGGTAGCTGTCCCGCCACGTCCTTGCCCTGAACCCGCAGGCCCCGTCCACCGCTCTGTCCACGTGGAGAGAAATCGGGCGTTTTGCTAAGATTTTCAGGAGAGATTGATGTGGAAGAGACGTTACATTTCAGACCAGCAGCTTTAGTTCAGAAACTTCTCAAAGACGCAGCCCAGGAAATGGAAACCTTTGTCTCCGAAGAGAGACAAGGATGCTGCCTGCGGTCGGGCCTGTGAGGGGTGTGTTTGCTGCACGGGTTTGGCGATTCGCGTTGTATCAGAGCTGCCGTTGCCGGTTTCCCGTTTGGCCAGGAACAGAGCCGTGGCGAGGACTGGCTGTCGGTGCTTTCTTTCCCGGGGAGGCCGTGCGCGGGCACTGCCGCCTGGGAGCTCTTGGGCTGGGAAACATGGTCACAGCATCCTGAGGTCCTGGAGGCGGCGGCAGAACCCCCGGTAGCTGGGGAGCGGCCACAGACAAGCGAAGAGGGTTTGAGGGGCCACGGGAAGGGGCAGCCTCATCCCGCAGGGCCCGCCCCAAGCAGGAGGCCCTGGGCGCCCAGGTGCCGCTCAGGCTCCGTGCCCTGCCTCACTGCACCCGCCGTCCTCCCCCCAGGATGAAGCCGGCCGGAAGTGTGAACGACGTGGCCCTGGATGCCTTCGATTTGGACCGGATGAAGCAGGTGAGCGTGTCCTTTCCTGAGGCTGTGAGGAGCCCGGGCTGGGACCGCCAGTGGGGCCCTCGCTGCAGCCCAGTCAGTCAGGGACCAGCAGTGGAGGGGGTTGTAGCATTTGTCCCCAGGCCCACCCTGCCCCCCATATCAGAAATAAACCTCCCCGCCGTCCAGGCACTCCCGAGGGGCCTGAGGTGCTGGAGGCCAGGCAGGGCCGGCCAGGGTGTCCCATCCCCGGACACACCTCCTCTCCCAGCTCCAGGGTGTGGGTGAGAGTGATGTAGGGCTGTGCCCTGGGGGAGGCCCAGGACACCCCACCCTGCAAGGCCGGCTTCCCGTCCCTGCCTCTGAGGCTCTGCTCCTACAGGAGATCCTGGAGGAGGTGGTCCGAGAGCTGCACAAAGTGAAGGAGGAGATCATCGACGGTGAGTCGGGCTCACCCTGGTCCTGGGGAGGGCAGAGCCGCTGCCGCCAGAACCGCACGGCGGAGCCAAGGCGGCCCAGCCTGGAGGCGTCCCGGGCCCCGAGGCCGCAGGCTTTGTACTGGGAGGTTCATTCTCCCCCAAACAGCCCGCAGGCCCTCCCCATCCTCTAGTCAAGCAAACAGGCTCGGAGAGTGAAGGGACTTGCTGAGTACACACACCTCCCAGGAAGCAGAGCTGTTATGTGACCCTGACCACCTCCCAGCTGCTTGGCCTGGGCCGGGGGTGCGGGTGGTGGCGCTCCCCAGAGGCAGCGCCTGGCCACCGGAGTCACACCCGCCCGGGCCTACGGAGCCTTTGGTGCAGCGGCTCAGATCTGGAGCCAGAGGGGAGGACTGGGCTCTCCACGGGGCCCCCGGGCCAGCCGGGAGGCGCCTCAGTCCCCACCCGCTCCCCACCAGGGGGGATGAAGTCACAGCTGGGGGCAGAGGGCTGCCTGGACTCCGGAGAGAGGGGAGGTAAGGGTGAGAGCCTACCTGGGTGAGGGAGCCACACCCTGTTCTGGTCCCAGCGGAGAACACTGGGTTCCTGTTTATCGGGCCCCCACAGGCCTGAGCTGGACAGATAAGGAGTTAATGAATAGAGAGGGTGAGACGGAGCTGGAACCAGAACGGAGACCGGCCAACCATTAACTCAGCTTTATAGCTGGGCAACCCCCAGGAGGGGCTGCCTGGGGCGGGCAGCAGCCTGTGTGGGAGGGCGGGCAGTGGGGCAGTGGGCCTCAGCGGGGGGCGGGCCCAGGGGGGGCGGGCTCTGCGGCCTGGAAGCAGCCTTTTATCTGACAGGCCCAGCTCTCATCAGACTCTCTGGTGGCCTTTGGCTCCAGGCCCAGTCCAAGGAAAAGCCTGGATTTGGGGGAATCCTGCGGGGGAGAACCCCTGCCCTCCTGGGAGAAGAGCTCGGGGGTGGGGAGGGGTCCCACCTGCCCAGACCTGTGCGGGCTCCTGGTGCCCGCCCGCCCCACGGCTGCCGCTGGGGTGCATGGGAACCCCACAACCTCATCGGGGCCTCGGGAGACCAGAGGCACTGGAGCCGCCTCAGCGGGGGCGGGCGGGTTCCCGCCACACCTGAGCCCCCTCTCCTCTCCTCTCCTCAGCCATCCGGCAGGAGCTGAGCGGAATCAGCACCTCGTAGATGGGCGGCCCGAGCCACGACCCCAACAGACAGACGGACGGAGGAGCGCAGCCCAGGTCTGCAGCCACGCGAGCGCACTGAAGCTGGTGTGTTTCACTTAAGTCTTAACCTGTGAGGAAATACCTACGTGAGGGGAACGGTCAATGCCTGGATGTTTTTAGATTCTACCTGACGCACACCACCAGGCCTACTCGCCTTTTTTGTATTTTATATTTGTCTATTTAAGTGTACATTTCTTTTGGTTTATAGAAAAGACACCCCCAAACCACACACTTCATTAGGTGGTTCCGAGTTCCTCCCGGTGCCCCTCGCACCCGGGCCTGGCGCACTGTGCCAGTGGCTCCTCCCAGCGTCACGGTGTGAAGTCTGTCCACGCCCCTCGGTGTCTGTGTCCACGTGGTAATAAACGCTTACTGTCCACACCGGCTCCCGCTCACTGGCTCGCCGCCTCTGGGGCGCTGCTGGCCGGGGCTCCCGCAGCGGTGATTGGGTAGTAGGTTAAGATGTGGCCTTGGGGGGTAGCTGGGCTGAATTCAGACGTGGGACGGATGGGAGGGTGAGCAGGCAGTTCAGGCACTTCCTGTGGGGCCTGGGGGCCACGGGAGCCACACCCACAGGGGAGTGGGCAGTGGCCTTGAGTGGCTCCCTGGCCTGGAACATCAGAGGGAGTGCGCGTGCGTTCTGACCAGCAGGGCCGGGGCCGAGACCCCTCAGAAGCATGGCGTTGATGTGGAAAGAAACGCTGGTTTGATTTAGGGCAGGGGCACCAGACAGCCCCGTGGAGGCTGCGCACAGGGCGTGGGAGGCAGGGAGGCCAGGAAGGGCGGCCTGGCCTGAGCAGCAGCGCGTCCGCGTGCAGAGCCTGTGTCCGCTGTCCCAGCGGCACCGGGACCTGGGGACCAGCAGCGGCCGGGGGTCCGGACCGAAGGCAGCCAAGGAGGTCTGAGCACCACGCCGAGGGCAGGGCCCGCCGGCTCCGCGGCCCAGCTCACAGGCCGTCCGCCAGCTTGCACACCCGCTTCACCCTGGCGTAGGGCCCCAGGGAGTCCTCGAACACAAAGTCCCAGAGCACCTTCACCCACGAGTGGTGCTGCGGCAGGTGGTCGTAGTACTCGGGCGCGATCTTCCGCACCTGCGGGGAGGCGGGGGTCAGAGGCCAGGCCTCGGCACAGACAGGCCTCTGCCACACATGTGCACGTGAACATGAACACACACAGATGTGTGTACACAGACACGTGAGCATGCACACAATGACACACACCCTGTCACCCCCAGGGTGCCTGTGTCCAGCTCAGCCCAGCAGGAGGCTGGCTGGTGCTGGCCCTTAGCCCCGGACAGACTCTGCCCCCTGCCCAGGTTCAAATGCACCTGTCCCCGGAGCCAGCTGGAGCTTCTGACCCAGGAGCCAGGGCGGCCGGGCTGGCTCCTCAAGCACCTGCCCAGCTACGAGGCACAGCCTGGCCTGGTCATTCATGCTCCTCGCCAGTCCAGTGCCCCCCAGCTTGCCGACCCTCTGGCCCCGGCTCCCACAACCCCCTTCGGCTCCGCCCTTGCCTGCACACGCCCCCCTCTGCTGCCTCCTCCAGGACGTGCTCCCGCCTCAGCACCTGCAGCAGCAGCACGCCGTCCCATGGAGGGCACAGGCACGCCATGCTCAGGGCCTGCGTTAGAGCTGCAGACAGGCTCAGGGAGATGAGGCAAAGGGCGCAAGCAGGGGGCCGCTCACTTTGCCCGGAAGTAAAGACTTCCTGGGACAGGCACCTCCTCTCTCCACCTTTACCTTCTCATCTGTGAAATGGGGGTAATGGGCAAGGCGGGCACCTGCCAAATCAGCTTGTGGTGAGGCTTCAGTGAGGTGGTGCCAGCCCAGAGCCGGACCTCAGTGCCTTCAGCAGGATGGGACGGGAAGGGCTGCACACACAGGCTGTCAGACTCTCGGTCATACGGGCCAGGGTGCAAACACCTGTACACCCACACAAATGCTAACACACAACCGTACGCACACATACATGTACATACCGGGCACACTCATAGGCACACATGCAAACTCCCAAAGGCATGTGCACACCCAGAAAAACCCACTGCCCCTCTCCTGCCCCGAGGGGCACCTCTGCTCTTTCTATCCCACCCACACCAGACTGATGGCCTCCTCCCGCCCTGCCCTCCCCTCCTCCTTCAGAAATTCTCCATCCCCAGGCCTCCCACGGCAGAGCCACCGGCCCCGACGCTACCACTCTGCACCCACTCGGCCCCCGGGGTCACCAAGCCCTCCCTGTCCTCTCTGCCACGTGGGGCCCCTAGAAAGCAGTTTGCCCAAGAATGCACAGCCAGCACAGGCTCTAGCCAGGCTCAGTCAGGTCTGCATTACACTAAGCAGTCTCCACTGTAAAAGCACCTCGACGCTCAGCTGGTTTGGCTCAGTGGATAGAGCATCAGCCTGCGGACTGAAGGATCCCGGGTTTGATTCCAGCCAAGGGCACATGCCTGGGTTGCAGGCTCGGTTCCCAATAGGGGGCGTGCAGGAGCAGCCAATCAATAATTCTCTCTCATCATTGATGTTTCTCTCTCTCCCTCTCTGAAATCAATTAAGAAGTATATATTAAAAAAAAACAAAAAAAACACCCACACACCTCCAGCCTGTCTGGACTCCCCTTGTCACTCTCCAGGCCCACACCCCGCCCCGGTGCGGCCTCTCCCTTCGCCCTGAGACCACAACTGAGACTGTGGCCACTCCATGATCAGCATGAAAGGAAAAGGAAGTCAGAGCCAGGCCCCAGGTCCACCCCGCCAACCCCCGCCTCCTCAGACCCCGGGCCCCCGCCCGCGCGGCCACCTACCAGGGGCAGGTTGCAGCCGGGGATGCTGGGGAAGTCGTGGTGCTCCATGTGGTAGCCCACGTTGAAGGTGATCCAGTTGAGGGGCCCGTAGTAGGAGTAGGTCTCGTGGCCCTTGAGGAACATGTAGTGCTCGGCCACAAAGTGGCCGGAGATGGGGTGCAGGCCCAGGCCCAGCAGGGTGCTGGCCAGCAGGTAGACCATGGGCTTGAGCCCCCAGAGGGTGAAGATGGCCGCATCGGCCGCCAGCTGCACCAGGGCGTTGAACACCTCCATGCGCGTCAGGGCCTTGGGGTTCACGCAGAGCGGCCGCAGGGCGTAGAAGAGCGGCTGCAGCGCCAGCCAGAGCAGCTTCCGGGCCGGCGTGCAGAAGAGCCAGCCCTCCAGGCGCGTGGGCACGTCCACGTCCAGCCCGTCGCCGCCCAGGTAGCGGTGGTGGTCCACGTGGTACTTCTTGAAGGAGGCGGCGTAGGGCATGCCCACGGGCAGGTTGGCGAAGATGGCGAACCAGCGGTTGTGGGCGGCGCGGGCCGTGCCGAAGGCCGCGTTGTGCGAGATGTCGTGGATGGCCAGCGTCAGCGAGTGGTTCACGCAGCCGCCGAAGGCGTAGGCCCAGAAGAGCAGCCAGCGCCACGCCAGCCCCCGCACCAGCCAGCAGGCCAGCAGCTGCGCCAGCACCAGCCCCAGCACCGTCCACTTGAGACGAGGGTCCGGCCGCATCAGGGCCTTGATGGCCGGGTACTTGGCTGCGGATAGGGCCGGGAGAGAAGGTGGTGAGGGGGGCACGGCTGCACGGGCCCCCAGCCTTATGCCCACTCTCCCTTCCTCCCTCCCTCCCTTCATTCCATTTGTCCCACTGGCTTCCCTCCGGTCCTCCTCCACCAGCCACTAGGCCCCTGGGCAGCGACACGGAATAACGTGCCCTCGAGGATCATGCTAAGACCTTTCCCTGCGTATGATTCTGGATCCAGGACCAGCCGGGCCTGTGGGCACCCAGAGAGACCTGCGGATTAGGGGGGCTTTGCCATCGGCCTAAATAAAGAACAGGGGTCACCACAGGTCACACAAATGTGGTCAGAAACCAGAGCAGCGGCAGAGCCAGGAGCCGCTGGCTGTGCCGCGACCCTCACGCGGTGCGGCAGGAGCAGGGACTGGGACCGGGTGGACCAGGCATATCGGGAACCGGAAGGGGCAGCGCCCAGGGGAGGGGCCCGTGGAGGGCTCTGGCTTGCTCTCAAGTGTCTCATTTCTTAAAACGAGATCTGAAGGAAGCGCCACAAAAGGTTGAATGTGTTTCTTTTGGAGGGTTTGTGTGTGTGATAGTATCTTGTATTTTCTCTTCCATTTCTCAGAAAAGGAAAAAGCAATGAGCGTTGGGGTTGGCCAAGCCTTTGTGGCCCAGAAGCAGCAAACCCTGCAGGAACAGGGGAGAGGGGTGTGGGGGGAGTACCCTCTATCAAGACAGCCGTGCCTTCTAGAAACCTCTGCGGCTGCTGGGCAGGAGGGGCCGGCGGGGCCAGGGGAGGGTGCTACGTCCAGGGACAGGGCCGGACAGAGTGACAGACGCCCGCCCAGTCTGCTCCAATCCCACCTCCCGGGGCATAGCAGGTGGGCACTCCGCCCCACAATGAACAGAGGGAAACTGAGGCTGTAAGGGTGGGGCTTGGCCCAGGGCCCCCGGGACAAGGCAGTGTCCACCTCCTCAGAAGGAGGCAGCCTCAGGCTCACACCACCCCCCCAGGCTGTCCCATGAAGAGGGTCCCAGGACAGCAGCAGAGGCTGAGCCCCTACTGGAACCGAGTCCTGGCCGGCTCCGCCCAGCTCTTTCCTCCATGTGGCCCAGGCAGCGGCTCCCCCTCTGTGCGCGGTCCGGAAGGATGTGACGGCCCAGCTCAGCCGCTCCCGGGCCCTCCTCCCTCCTGCCAGCCCCGTGTCCAGTTCCCAGGTAGGAGACTGCGTCTCCGCGGGATGCCCGGCTCAGCCGGCACCGAGGGCATGTCCCCAGCCTCCGGCTTGAGAAGATGCGTCTGGCACGGGGACGCCAGCCTTCAAGGTGTAGTCACGTCTCTCCCGTGACTACAGATAAGCCAGGATGCCCTGCCACAGCGCCCTCTCTGTCAGAGCCGCCCGGCAGGAGACCGGCCTGTTTTGGAGGCGGCGAGCTGCCTGTCCCTGGCGGTATGCAAGGAGAAACGCAGCAGCATGGCAGAGGGATCCTGCTCCAGAGGGAGGACCCGGGCTCACAGTCGGAGTTGTGTGGCCATGGGTTCGGGCTGTGGTGTCCCAGCGTGACACAGCGAGGACACAGTGCGCCTTCCTGTGTGTCTGTCCCTTCGGACAGGTCCTGGCTCCTGGACAGCAGGACAGCCCTCACCTGCTGGGAGATACTGGGGGGTATCGGGACCCCCAAATCCTAGCATCACAGGCCACCTGTGCCCAGGACGCCAGCAGAATCCCCCAGGCAGTTGCCCACATGCCCGCCTACCGCGCAGCCTTGGCCTCGTCTGGCAGCCGCGGCGACGTGGGCTCCATGTGCGTGAGCAGTGGGTCCGCACAGCCCTCAGGACAGCCTGCCGCTGGCCGAGTCTCAACCCAACGGCAGACGTGGTGGGCAGAACTAGGACTCCCAGCCCCACT